TTATAAGCATATTTTTTGTTGGTTCAATAACGTTTCTTTCTAAATCCTGCTTTCTCGTATTGATACTCTTTAGTTGGTCCGAAGTTTTTGTGGTGGTTTTCAAGATGTTTCTATTATTTGCCTCCGGTTTGTCCCTCTTTTTTACAGCCTTTTCTTCTGCCCTGGTTTCCTTGTAATTAGTCTTTCCTTTTTCCGACTTCTTACTGCTCTCGTCATTGATAGGCTCTATCTTCCAATAACCCAGAGTTGATATATTAGCACCCTCGTCGTGTTGTAAGCCTGTCGACACATTATTTTCATCCCCATTAACTTCGCTCTGTTCGCCGTTTTGATTTTTTAACCACTCCAAGCGTTTGCAAGCTATAATCTTCTGTGCTTTTAAATTTTGTCGATTTTTGCGCTTCTGCTCCGTCCGTAAGATTTTAACACGCCTTTTGCTAGCTTGCATCAGCTCTTTCTTCCATGCATTGTTTTCGTCAGTAAGCCCCAAGTTTTCTTTTAAAACATTAACTAGATCGTGCATGAGCTTATTGACCGCAACCATTGCCACGGCCATCTCTTCGGGTGAACATAGTCCATTTGTTAAAATAGCAGAGGGACTCTTTTCTAATACCAAGACACGTTTCATCAAATCGATGCATTTCAACTTCTATTTGAATTTTGTAATACACACATTTATTGCGATTATTTTTTTTAAGTGGATATAAGATTTGTAGTTGAACTTACTTACCTTTAACTCCTCCAAACACAATGTGGCCTTGCGGAAGCGCTCTTTATTTTTTTCATATTCTGGCTTTTTCTCAAGTATATATTTGAGTTTCTTAATTTTTTGTACTAATTTTTGAACAGTCTGTGTCTTTATCTTTTGTATTTTTTTCTTATTGGTGATTACCTGCCGAAAAATTGTATTGCTTACTAAGAATATTTTCGCAAATCATAAATATATTTACCAAGTTATTGAACTCTAATTTATTTATCATGTTCTAGTTTTCTAATCAATAAAATACACATTTATATACGGATCCCACACCGTCTGCCTCTTGTCGTTTGTGTATGGCTGTGTTCAAGGCGAATTCGAACAAGGTACCCAATAAACATTAAACGTAGTTAACAATTCGAAAATGATTGGAAAACCAATATATTTTTCGAGTCTCACCTTCGATAACTAATGTGGAATAGATTAGTATTCGATTCGAGAGCTAGGTCATTCTCCAGAAAAACGGAACCTTCGTTATCCAATTATTTTTCCTTCGTTATAAATTCGAAATCCAGCCCATTATCGAATTGAAATTTTAATGAGCGAGAGTGATTTTCTTTTATTTCCCTTAGAAAATGAGCTGGATTACACTTCCTCTCTTGTTACCAGTGACTGGACTTCTACCACATTGTGGTAGATCGGCCACGTTTTTGAGCATCTACCACATCTACCACACAAGGTCTGAAATCTACCACATATTCGCGTTTTTGAGTGTAGTTTTATTTCTGCTCGACATAATTTTCTTAATTTTAAGAGCAAACATTTTCCAACACTAAACACTAACAATTCAATCTTTCGACAGGAAACTGGGTTTTACTATGTTAAACACGGCAATTTTTGTGAAAGTATTAGCACGCTTCAGTGCATCTAAAGTTTCTAAAGCGATAAAAAGAAAAGCTGCCAGCACTCCGCAAGGTTGTAGAAATCTTTCAAAATATGTTCGAAAAATATCTTGATATGGAAGGAACTGCTTTACACTGTCAAGGAAAGAAATTGTCAAAACTCAAAACAATTTTTAGCAACTTCAATCTTGCACTTTATTAAACTAAAATATATTTTTTTAGATTCTAATTAAAAGGATTGCAATTTCGGTCAAACCTTGCAGAATTTTTTTTAATTTTTTGTACAAAGTTTGATCCAAAGCCTGCGATCAACCATATTTTTTTGAAATCTACCACATTTTTTTCCAGATTCTACCACACAAATTTTTTCAAGTCCGATCACTGCTTGTTACTATAGTTTTAATTTTTTCCAGTATTTCCAATGCACTATGAACGTTCTAGGTCTAGGTTCAGACAGAGAAACTTTTGTCGCGGCAACTAGTTACTTGTTAGGGAGGGGGAGACGTGAAAGGGGAAAGGGCACCGAGTTGCTCGTGCTCGGGAAACACGCTTTGTGCTCTCGTTCGTCTGAGTAATTCTAGTTGGCCGTTCATAGCTGACAACAATAATTGTGTACAAAAGGATTTCTCTGTGTGAACGCGAAGGGTAACACCAAAAGAGAAATTGCCGACAATGAGCTACAAAAGTTTCTCTGGCTAGTCTAATTAAACAACAATAATCGTATCAATATTTCACGATAAAAGTTGTATCGCAAGGGTCAGCGTTGCCATTTTAGCCGTTTTCCGGCTAGATTTAGCCGGTTATGATAGCAACTAGCCGGAGAAAATTCGATCTAGCCGGCAGCCGATTTGTTAGCCGGTTTGTAAAAAAAAGTTAGCCGTTTTTAGCCGATTTTACTATTTGCCTAATTTTCAGGTGCAAAAAGTAAACAAGTTGTTCGAAAGCAATAATGCAGACCCAATGAAGATTTTTAATGAACTCAATGGCCCGTAGTCATAGTCAAAATAAAGTCGACTTTAAAGTTAGTTGCAGCTTTTTGACATAATTTTCAATGGGATATCTGTCAAAAAAGCTGCAACTAACTTTAAAGTCCAATGTTTTACTTTCGCATCTAACGGGTGATTTTTTAAGAGCTTGATAACTTTTTTTTTAAAAAAAAACGCATAAAATTTGCAAAATCTCATCGGTTCTTTATTTGAAACGTTAGATTGGTCCATGACATTTACTTTTTGAAGATAATTTCATTTAAATGTTGACCGCGGCTGCGTCTTAGGTGGTCCATTCGGAAAGTCCAATTTTGGGCAACTTTTTCGAGCAAAAAAAAAAAAAAAAAAAAAAAAACTTCGGAAATGTTGTCTTCCAAAGCTGGAATAGTTGCTGGCTTATTTCTGTAGACTTTAGACTTGACGTAGCCCCACAAAAAATAGTCTAAAGGCGTCAAATCGCATGATCTTGGTGGCCAACTTACCGGTCCATTTCTTGAGATGAATTGTTCTCCGAAGTTTTCCCTCAAAATGGCCATAGAATCGCGAGCTGTGTGGCATGTAGCGCCATCTTGTTGAAACCACATGTCAACCAAGTTCAGTTCTTCCATTTTTGGCAACAAAAAGTTTGTTAGCATCGAACGATAGCGATCGCCATTCACCGTAACGTTGCGTCCAACAGCATCTTTGAAAAAATACGGTCCAATGATTCCACCAGCGTACAAACCACACCAAACAGTGCATTTTTCGGGATGCATGGGCAGTTCTTGAACGGCTTCTGGTTGCTCTTCACTCCAAATGCGGCAATTTTGCTTATTTACGAAGCCATTCAACCAGAAATGAGCCTCATCGCTGAACAAAATTTGTCGATAAAAAAGCGGATTTTCTGCCAACTTTTCTAGGGCCCATTCACTGAAAATTCGACGTTGTGGCAGATCGTTCGGCTTCAGTTCTTGCACGAGCTGTATTTTATACGGTTTTACACCAAGATCTTTGCGTAAAATCTTCCATGTGGTCGAATAACACAAACCCAATTGCTGCGAACGGCGACGAATCGACATTTCACGGTCTTCAGCACAACTCTCAGAAACAGACACAATATTCCCTTCTGTACGCACTGTACGCATTCGTGTGGTTGGTTTAATGTCCAATAAAGTAAACTGAGTGCGAAACTTGGTCACAATCGCATTAATTGTTTGCTCACTTGGTCGATTATGTAGACCATAAATCGGACGTAAAGCGCGAAACACATTTCGAACCGAACACTGATTTTGGTAATAAAATTCAATGATTTGCAAGCGTTGCTCGTTAGTAAGTCTATTCATGGTTGGTGTACTGGTTGGACTCTTGAGTAACTCATTTTCATCTGCAGCTATTGGCGACTCTTCCTCATCGGTCAGCACGGCATCTTCATCAAGCAGAGCATCTTCATTGGTGATAGCTGAATCTTCCAATGAAATGTCGCCATCAATTAGTGCCGTCTGCAGGCGGTCTTGAAGTTCCGTTTTGTTGCCAGTGGTAGCAAGGCCACGCACTTTAAGCTCACGTTTCAAATCGGCCACCTGGTAAATATAAATAGTTTTTCTGATATCTATTAATGATTTAGATTCAGCGAATCTCACCTTCATTTTAGTAACTTCCGATTCAGGCATGGTTTTGTGTATTTTTTTTTTATTAGCTTTCTATAAATTAAAATTCGCGATTTCAGCCTCCTTTCTGTTTTTCGTTCAATTACACAAACACACAAAGAAGTGCCACTTTGACGTTTTCTCCCTGGGGTATGTTCAAGCAGCGGTATTAAAATTATAGCTATAGAATAGTGCAATTAGTCACGAATGTAATCCCAATGATATGTAAAACCGTAACTTAATTAAAAACTACACGCAGTTGTCCACAAAATATTAGGATTGATCTTTAGTTTATTTAGGGCCGATTACTCAACGTCTGGTTTAACACTAATCTGTTGTTGCATGGAGTCGAAGACGTCGATAACGCTGTTTAACCGCAGATTAGTGTTAACCAGAGTTTGAGTAACCGGCCCGTAATGTTTATATTTTTTTTTATAAAAGTCTAGCAACACCATATAAATTCAGATTTCAAATTTTGTGCAAGAATTATAAAAATTCGCAAATTTTCACCCAAATTTCAAACTTTTTAATCAGAACCTATAGGAAAAATTGTGGTATGCAGTTTTGTAGCCTAGTATATTGCAGTACAAGTCCCAAGCTGCTAAAAAATGCCGTTGGTTTTTGACAATTTTTGTTTGGCGGGCAATGTCTTCCGTATAAAAGAAAATTGTCGAAAAAACTTGAAACACCTTCAACCAAAAAATTTCTTAAAGATCAACGGAATTTTTTAGCAATTAAATTAAATGGGCTACGAAACTACATACCACAATTTTTTCTAAAGATTCTGGATAAAAAAGTTTGAAAGTTGGGTGAAAATTTGCGAAATTTTTTATCATTAGAGTTTTGACATTCCCTTAACTCTCTTACAAAAGGTTGCACACACACCCACACCCACACAAAGTACCTTGCTAAGGGAGCCGATTTTGTTAAGAGGGAACGAGAAAACTGTTTTCTGAGCAAACCTTTTAAAATTGAATCATGCATATTCCTAGTCGGCAACAGCGTTGCCATTTTAGCCGTTTTCCGGCTAGATTTAGCCGATTTTGATAGCAACTAGCCGGAGAAAATTCGATCTAGCCGGCAGCCGATTTGTTAGCCGGTTTGTAAAAAAAAGTTAGCCGTTTTTAGCCGATTTTACTATTTGCCTAATTTTCAGGTGCAAAAAGTAAACAAGTTGTTCGTAAGCAATAATGCAGACCCAATGAAGATTTTTAATGAACTCAATGTTTTACTTTCGCATCTATGCTTCCTAGTGGTTATTAGCGCGGACACATTTGATCCTATATGCTCCCCGTTGGAACCATACCTTGCTCCATTTCCTCAGTTTTATCACAGTTTTGAAGAGTATTTAAAAACAAAAGTAAGCACAAACGCTTTTGACCACGAAGCCGATAAAATAATTCGAGAAAATGGTCGCTATTTTATTATCACTTTAATAAAGGAATTACGCCAACGCCTCCCTACAAATATTGCCACACTAAAAAAAATTGACTTTTTTCGGTTGGAAATGCATTAAGAGTAATTAAACCAAAAGTATTTGTCCAACTACAGCAACAAAAACACAAATATAATGCCGACGAAATAACATCCATAGAGATGCAATGGCAACGGTTAACGTTACATACCTGGAGTAATTTAGACTCAACTGTAAAATTTTGGGCCGAAGTTTATCAATTTCGAAATGCCTTAGGAGAAAACCCTTTTGCTGACCTTTGCAACCTAGTTTTTAGTTTTCTTGTTTTGCCTATAAGTAATGCAGAAGTAGAGCGAATATTTAGTTCAATGAATATAATAAAAACTAAGCAAAGAAATCCAATGTGCGTTAAAACGTTAAACGCTATTTTATATATAAGATACGGTTTAAAACGTGAAGAAAAATGCTGCCATAATTTTACTGTAGATGACGATCTCTTAAAATTAATGAATTCAGGTGATATATACAATAGTGATTTATTTGATGATGAGGAATATACACTCGATATAAATTAATGGTGTTAACTAGTCTTTCGTTTCTTGCGATTTATTTAAATAAAGCATGTGGATTTTCACTAAAACATTTTAGCCGTTTTTAGCCGCTTTTTTTTGCCAATCTAGCCGGTCGGCCCAAAAAGTTCTGGCAACACTGGCAAGGGTACAGAAACGCGCTACTGGAACGCACTAAATGAGTGCGCTTTCAAATACAACCCTGGCAAGATGGCGACGAAACGAACCTGAGTTGAAAGGTAAAACGAAAAAAACGGGGCGGAAAGTATCTTGTTGAAAAACGTATATTTTGCAGTGAAACTGTTGGGGAAAATATAAACAAATTAGTCTTCTTACTAAGGTGCGGCTGGTGCGAAAAGGGTACGAAACAGATTTCCCATTCTAATATGAAATATGTACAATTAACTTCATGTATCTGAACAATTTATGTGAACTAAAAAACTATGGGAAGAACAAGAATACAGTGGAACAATGGCAACATGATTTTCTGAGATTTGTAATGTAATCGAATGGTGCGTGCGAAAAACACTAGTGTAAGCAAATGGTGATCCTCATAGTGCATCAATCTTGATATTATAACATCGATTGTTTTTCTTATAACGGCTGTGCTTGGGATGAACCCCCAACCGAAAGCGGCGCACCTAGGTTGTGTTCTTGATTGGGAGAACGGGAGCGTTTTACCCACACACATCTGAACAATTTTTGTTGCACTCACATATGTTATGGGCGTATGTGCAACCGCTGGAGAAGTGCAATGCACGGTATTACATATATGTATGTAGGCACTGTTTTCATTTGATATAAATTCGGGACATAATTGACTCAAAATGAGTCACTCGCAGCGCCGAACAATTCAATAAGAACACGGCGACAAAAAAACATCGCCGTCTGGATGACTCTTATATTAATTAATTTTAATGGGCAACCTGCAACTCCGATGATATTAATCTTCCATCGTGGTTTAGTCTGTATATAAAAACATTGTCATATACATACCAGGCTACATTTTTTTCTGTACTTTTTTTATTTATAGGAAAATAATAGCATTTACAGGTTAACAGCCTTAATTAATGTTTAGTATATAAAAGGAGAAAAAACGTATAGCGAGACCACAAAAATCAACAAAATTTACGTTTAAGGGTACTTGCAGAAGCCGTACGGGCTTATCAGTACTTCCAAGTTCACTCCCAACAAAGATTAAATCGCCCTTTATAAACAAAAACTATAACAAGAATCAAAAATGACGGAGTACAAATTGGTAGTCGTGGGCGCCGGAGGTGTTGGCAAATCTGCACTCACAATCCAATTGATACAAAATCATTTCGTAGACGAATACGATCCTACGATCGAAGATTCCTACAGGAAGCAAGTGGTTATCGGTAAGTATCTGAACATTGTTCCAAACAATATCTATTTGCACTCTCGATACATATAAAACACTAAATTTTTCTACGTTTCAGATGGCGAAACGTGTCTTTTGGATATTTTAGATACCGCCGGCCAAGAAGAGTATTCAGCTATGCGTGACCAATATATGCGCACTGGTGAGGGCTTCCTGCTCGTATTTGCTGTAAACAGCGCGAAATCTTTTGAAGATATAGGTAGATTATCAATAACTATAATAAATTCGCTGTTATCAATTTATATTTATAATTGGTTCTTTTTTCCACCAGGCACATATCGAGAGCAAATAAAGCGCGTTAAAGATGCCGAAGAGGTGCCAATGGTGCTGGTGGGTAATAAGTGCGATTTGCAAGCATGGGCGGTAAATATGAGCCAAGCCAGAGAGGTAAGTAATACACTTAAAAAAAAAAGAAAACCTATATTTATTAACGTAAAAATTAATAAAAAAAATTCAGGTGGCTAAACAGTACGGCATTCCATTTGTTGAGACATCTGCAAAGACAAGAATGGGTGTAGATGATGCATTTTACACATTGGTACGTGAGATTCGCAAGGACAAAGAGCATAGAGGGAAAAAGGGTCGTAAACATCACAAGCTACCCCATCATAAATTCAAATGCGAGTTACTATAAATGATTCTTGTATGAAGGCCTGAAAAGATTAAGTAACCTACGCATTCGGACAACCAGACTACATTATAATAAACCAAACAACGACACAACGAAAAACAACCATACATACATTCGATCAGAAGTTAGCCTGTGATGAGAAGGCTGTAATAGATGAGCCAGCAAATACATAAATACATACAAATGTGACCACAGTGAGAACCGGAAATTAACACATAAAGTACATATTTTTTCATTAAAAAAAAATCAGCATAATACATACTATACGCACACGCATAAAAGGCGCAAAATTTTCACAAACGCACACACACAGACGAATCATAACGCACATAGGAAACACACAAAAAAGATTAAAAAAATTCAAATGCGAATTGCAGAAAGATGTGCATACTCTGAATATAATCAGAAAACAAAAAAGTGGTTTACTAATTTCGTTTAAAACGATGAATTTAACATATTGCATGTGGTTTATTAATATCCTGAAATTTTAATATATGGCCAAAGCAAAAGAATGGAAAAGAAATTATTAAGGTATCGAAAGTCAAGACATCTTCAAAGTATATGTAAATGCACGTTTCTTTTTAATACGTTTTAATTAACTCTTTTATAACTTTTGTGTGTGTTTGCAAATTAAGTTTTAATTTAACCTAGTATGGTTCAATACCTTTATGCTTCACCTTATGTGTATTTTTGAAAGTTAATTTTTAATTTACACTATTATGATTCAATATTTTTATGCTACTTGGTATTTCAATTGTGTTCTACTCGTGCTGTCTCTTACTACATTTATACGTAAGCTATTTGCAAATAAAAATAATTTGCATATACCTGTTTGCACGACAGTGAAAAACTATTAATCAACGTTGCCTGATTATAAAAAGGGAAAAATATGACCATCGAACAAGAAAATAGACCTAAAAATTGCAACGTCTTGCGCCATATTTGCAAATAATACTATTAATCTTATATTGATTTGCGTTAGTTATTTGCATTTAAATAATTAACTCTGTTTATTCGGAAAAATTACAATTTATTTGCGAATAATCCCTGACTTCCAAAATATAAAAATACAAAGCGTCAGAATGTTTTATTTCTTAAGCATACCAGATTAAAACGTCCAGCTAGTGAAACTTTACTAGTAACTAGAATTCAGGCGTAAACAGCCGCACCTGCTGTGGTTGAGAAAAGGAAAAGACCAAGGCTTTGAATTTTTACATTTTGGAATTCAGGTCATGCATGCGTATAAACGTAGTACATATATATTTGATATATGTATATAATATAGATATCTATATTGATAGTAAGTTAAGAAATTATACTACCGCCTATAATTATGCAATGTTGCGTGCTAAATATTCGTATCGCTTTATGTAACGAGTACTTTTGTAATTTTAATTAAAACTTATTGGGCAGGAGCGATTGTTGGCAGAATATCTGCAACGATATATGTATATGTGTCAAAAATAATTTTTTGATGTCAAAACACCCTAATCAGCCCATTTCTGTAAAATCTCAAGTTATAACTTGCCCCATATTTAACATTCTTTGTTGCGTCTTTTGTGAATACGTGACTGCTATTTTTTTATCAATGTTAATTGAAACTCATAAAAAACCTATGACAATTTGTTAAAATAAACTCATTTAAAACTACGATAATGATGAAAGCTACGACAAACTAAAATGCTATGCTAAGTGGACCAGCTGCAACGCACAAAAGGCAAAACCTACATATTGTTACCTTAATGCACAAAAGCCCTAACCAACATTTATTTTACAGAAGCAACAATAAAAAAAACAAAAGGAATATCAGATAGGGCTTTTTAAAAAGTGGCATGTAACTCCATTGTTTTTGGTACTAACATTTCAAAATTTTTATAGAAGATATATTTTAATACATCCTACCAAAATCTGTGAAAAATGCAGTTTTGAAAAAACTGTTGGTTAGGGCTTTTATAAATTAAGGCAACGACATGTAATTTCTGTTCTCTCAATCAATTTGCGTTTGAAATTAATTTTTTGGTGCTGAAGTAAAAAAAAAGCGTGCAAATAAATAGCGTCAAAATATTCATGTTTAATTTTAATGGAGCCTTTTTTTATCAATATAGAAAAGAAATATGTGAAATTGCCGTAAGCAATCAGCTATTCCACATACATATATGTGTTCTTAACCCGTTATAAGATTACAGTTTTCATATTTAGCAAGTAATGTGTTTGGATGTCACTACAATTATTTTTTTTTTTTATATAATTTATTATATACATTTGTATATGTATGCACGTACACATGCGTACATGTATAGTTTACCATTTTCTTTTACATCAAATTAACCTTACAATAGCCATTAAAAATAAAAATGCAATTTTTTTCACTATCATTAATACGAATTATTTACAATTCACAGTTTGCGTTTAACGATTTATTAGTATAAATACTTTCTACAATTTTATACGACGAGATATCAACAAACGGCATTCATAGCTGTTTACTTATTTTAAATTTTTTATTCAAAAACGATTGCTGTTTTGAATTACAAATTTGTTTTGCATTTTCTTTTTATGATATAGTAATTATATAGACATCTTTAATTGAATGTGTTTTGTAGTAAAAGTTTATTTTTTTTTTAATTTTTGGCGCATATATACAAAAAAAAAAAACGATTTGAAAATTTAGCGGTGCCTTTAAAATTCCTGTATAAAACAGTATACATAGGCGACTTGTTTTGAGTACAAGACGTTAGCTATACAAACATACAAAGTTATATAGATCAGTCTGCCCATTCCGTGACATCAGTGCGATGGTTAATTTGTTTATCTAGATGTTTTTGAGAATAAATTTAACACAATTATTCTTAAATATAATTTTTTTACGATTAAAACAAGTCTGAACTTAATGGGACGATGGCGGATGGCAACCGTTGTTAGTGACTGAAATTATAATCGACCTCTAATACAGATTCATGTATATTTTTCTTTAAATGCAACAAAACGAATATGCAAAATTTGTTAATTTCTTTGCATTGTATTTTGAGCGATTTTTTTTTCTTATTTTTACTAAAAGAATACATCTAAGTAATATATATTTAGTATACACATATTAACAGAAAAAATGTGCGCCAGGTTTTAGTTGGTTTTTATTTTGCCCAGCTTTGGGGATATAACACATGTTTTTATAGGCGATATTATTTAATATATTTTTTTTAATATTGATGATAAAAAAATCATACTAAAAAATAAAATGAAATCGTGCTGATTAGTGAAATATGGTATTAGAAACACCGCGAAAAATTATGTTTCGATATATGTATGTATGATAACAAGAACTGTAAACTAAAGTATACACACTTATTGAAAAATAAAATAATACTACATATATGTATGTACTTATGTGTACTGTGTGAGGTTGATGATTTGCATATTCAAAGGTAAAGGCGGTTTCGTTACATTCTCATTGCCCTCTTAGCACAAACACTAATGGTGATTTCGTTTCTACCATAAAAATTTTGCGTTTTGATTGCCCCTTTGTTCAATTCTAAATTAAAAGCAAACGGTGAGAAAATTGTGTGTTCGTTTCTTAAAATGTCACACTCTTGTAAGGCAAAAAAGGCACATTCTCTGCCCTGGCAAGCTTTATCAGGGGAGATGGTTGGCCTGAAAATTAGATCGTTGTTTAAAATGACAATATTATAAAATACGTGAAGTAGACGAGGACAAGGAAACGCACCGGAAAGGGCAATATGTTTTGGAAGAAACGAAATCACCATAAGAACCTGGCAATGAAAGGGCAACATTTTTTTTTATAGAAACGAGATCGCCATGATACTTGTACTTAATCTGGAAGGACTGGAAATGCAGGACTTGTGTGCACTACTTTGCAAAACAGAAATTTATTAGATTCCGGCTCAAACTGAGAAATGATTGATGCGCTTAATAAGAAGAAAATTTATTTTTGCCTTTCTAACAGTCGTTTATCTTCTACTAGTCGACACTCGCAATAGTAAATCTAATAAATTTTTTTGAATGTGATTAACCTTTGCAGCTCACTCGTCTTGGCTAAGCGAGCCACAGACAAGGCAACAGATTGCATGTTTTCAAAAAAATTTGGTTTTTCTTGCGATCGGTTGCGTGTGTGTAGTAGTGATGTGCCGAGTCGGCTATTTTTGGTACTCGAGTATTTTGGTACTCATTAAAAAAAGAATCGAGTCAGGATTCGAGTCAGATACTCGGATCAAGTATTCGAGATCAGAGCTCGGTATTCGAATACGTTATAGATTCGACTGCTGAACATGCACCCAACCGAAATGCCGACTTTTTATTTAACATGATATTATTATTAACTCCAAGATAGTATATCCGATTTATGTAGATCCAAACATAGAAATCTAATTCTTACATACTTACAAATAATAATTAAAATTAAATAAATATAGGGTTCAATAACAGTTCCTTTATTTATCATAGTAGAACTAGAACTTAGTAGTCTGTCATAAAAAAAATATCCAAAGTAAATAATGAGTTAAAAAAAAATAAATCTTCAGTACCTTAAAAGTTCAACTAGTACTTCAATTATAATGACAATATTCCATGAGATCTAGATTCATAAACAACAAAATTACTCCTTTGGAATTTAAAATTCCTTTCATCTTTGGCAATTAATACCTATAACGATATTAAAATTAATTTAGTTGTGTGGTGTATTTGGTAAATATATATACATATATATTTTTTTTAACGCTAAACCGCCATTTATATATCAAAAATACCTGATTCGGTGTTTGATAATTATAAGTACTCGAGACCCGTACTCGAGTCTGTGTATGCGAATACTATAATTTGCTTACTCGAGTACGTGAGTACTTCTAAAATACTCGAGTCAGAACTCGAGTCGACTCGACTCGGCACATCACTAGTGTGTAGCCGAGTTCTTAGATTTTTGTAATTTATTTTGTGATTCCGTAGAGTGAACATGAGCGGATAAATAGCAAGATTAGGTAAAATATTTATTAAGGAACTAATAGAGTGGTTAAATAGAGTTCAATACGTAATTTAACATGTATTTAATAGAGTTGTTGTCCTCTCTGTGCACATGCTTACTTGCCAACGTAAAATGGAAATCGTCAACCGATTCACTAGTGTGTAGCGAATAGAGTTGCAAACGATTGCTGTGATCTATTGCCTGTCTGTGGCTCGCTTTACGTAATCTGGCTAAATGGACCTATACACCGACCGACTTCTTATTCAACCAGTTATTCAACTGTCAAATTCCTCGACACCTGCGCCGCTACAACAACAACAACACCTGCGCCACCTAGAGGATTCAATCTTCTTATTGGAATGTCATCGGGTTCTGAGCTAAGTTTGAAGGTTAAGGGCCGGTTGTTCAATGTCTGATTAGCACAAATCGGAGGTAGAAGCTCTGGTTAAGCACAACTACTGCTTTATCGATCACATGTTACATGCATGATGTCGAAATCGTCGATAGTGTAGTGGTAGTGATAACCAGACATTGAACAACCGGCCTTAAGATTTTTATACAAGGTGCATTCTTTTGCAACCGAGCTCCAAAAGAACACTCGCTTAAATGGCGAAATATACGCAAACCAAAAAACAATAATTCGGCTATTTATCTGAGTTCAGCCAGGTCGGTAAAAAAATAGGCGACCTGAGGTGTAGTGTTGTTAAGTGAAAAGCTGTGAACTGTCTAAATCCCGTTAAACTAATCACATGTTTTCATGAACCAAAAGGACAAGATCACGCAAGAACGCGACGTTGTATTTGTAACTGGTTTTGAGAAAAAACTTTGCGAAAGTGGGTTCGTCATCTGAGCGTTTTTTTTACATCACAGATTAGGTATTTCAATATGACAACACATTCTAAAACGTTTTAAGGAATAATTACGGATCCGCTGATTTCACGGCGATTTTGTACCTTCTGTCGAAATGATGTGTTCGTTGTAATTTCGATTTCCCTGCAAAAATCGCGACTACTCCATGCATGCATGTAAAGAGTACACCCGGAGGACCAAGGAGTACTCCAAAATTAACCACAATTCATATAAAAAATATGGTCCAATTAACATTGCGATGTCCTAGGGCAGGACCATATACTCCATCTCTGCATTACATCAGAGTAGCACAAAACTACTCCCAACATACTCCATTGTCGTTATATTTTTTCGTTTGTACACGCTTTTGTTCTTCACTTCGCAGATCCTTTTTTTGAAATTAATAAAAACCAAAAACAAAAATTAAAAATTACATTTGCCTCTGACGACATTCGAACCCGAACATGCCGGGAGCTAAGAACTAACAGCTAGCATCTATACACGTTCAGCTACAGCCAGACATGCAAATGTACTTTCAAATGCTTAACTTCAATCACATTTCGTAAAAACACGAGCAGTGATCGGGTAACAATAAGCTGGTGCAGAGACACGAGTTGGTC